TCCATGCCACAGATTAATTTTTATTCTATTTTGGTGTGGTAACTCAAAGAAGTGTAGTTTCAAACAAATCTAATTAAGTAGCCATTTGATGAACTTTTTCCAGATCAAGGAAGAGCAAAACATAAATTATACCAGAGAATTAATATCTTATTTTACTATTTTAATCTGCTCTGAAGCAGTAAACAACAAGTGACACTTTCAGCAGATGTGCTTCATTTGGTAATCATAACCAACTTACTGTAAACCAGCATCAAATCAAAAGCATAAAAAAAAGCACACACACATATAACCAATTTCGCCCACTGCTCAGTTATGTTTCTTCCACAAAAAAATCTAGCATCCATTTTCTTGAGGGGGCAGGATTGGTCCAAGTTTTTAATGTTTGATAGGCACATCCTGTAAGGATCCGTGGGACTAGACCTATAGTTCCCTCTAAGGTGTGCATGGGCACACCAAGAATTTTAGTTTTGTCCACCTCCTCAACAGGGTGCACGGTGGCTGCTCCACGTCACAAAGCGTGACAGGTGGCTGCCCCGCCCCAGGAGCAGCTGGGCAGCCACCACGCAGCTCTGTCCCTAACCTCAGCCCTTCCCCAGGGCTGGAGCTGTGGCCAGGGCCAGAGCCCGGCAGCAGCTCCGGCAGCTGAGGCCAGCGCCACCACATGATAGCTGGCAATGGCTGCTCTGATGGCCAGGGCCAGAGCCTCCATGTGGCAGGTGGTGGCTGCAGCTCAGAAAAAAAAAGGCACCCAGATGTGCTTCTGGCAGGGCATGGGGGCAGCCTTTATTTCCAGGTGCTGCTGCATATGCCCTTTGCAGAGATGCATGCTTAAAGGGATCCCCCTGGACAGCCATCGCTCTGTTCCTGCTTCTGGCTTGCCTACCTCCTAGAGGGAAAGAAAAGCTGCTGCAGTTCTTGCTCTGGTTGTCCTGCTTCCTCGGACACCACAGCAGTTTATTTTCAGGTTTGTTTTTGTGCTTTTCACTGTATTTTTGGCCATGGAGCCTGAGCTGCCCCTGGCAAGCGATGGCCCCACACTGTGATGCTGGAAGTTCTGCTGCATCTTCATGAGACCATCATGATGTTTGTGGAAGAGCTGGATTTAGAACCCAGCTTTGAGCCGCTCACTCGGGCTGCAGCCCCACTGCCCTTGTCACTGAACTTATTCCTGGAGAGGCGAGTTTGGAGGCTGGACACCAGTTAAGACTGGTGGGACCGGTTTGTTATGGAGCAGTAGGATGACAGTAGGGGGCTGGGCAGGAGGTGGGGCTGTACCTGGGTCTGGGATGGCAGGCGGTGAGTGGGGAGCAGGAGGAGCAGGACCAGACACAGGACCGGAGAAGGCCATGGCCTCCCGGATAGCAGTGCAAATAGCAGTGCGCTGCTGGACTAACTCATTCAGCAAGCACCTGCGCCACTCTGCCTCCATCCTTTGGTTAAATGTGTCCTGCATCCCTTGCGGGACTGAGATGTGCTGGCACACCAGGTCCAAATATGTGCCCCAGTGCCGACGGGTTCCCTGCAGCCGTCTGGGTGGTGGGACAGGTGTGTAGCTCCCCTCACGGTCTGCTGGTCTGGCTGTGGAAGACAAGAGGGAAAAGTCGTCACTAGTGCATGCTCACACTTTCTCTGAGGGCATGCCCTCCTTCTCAGCAGTCAGTGCCTGTCCTAGGGTCAGGGGATGCTCATGTGGGTCTCAGTAAGGCATGGTGTGGCCTGGCCAGCAGCCACGTCCTCCCTGGATCCCAGAAGGTGTGCAGGCCCTCACCATGCCTCCCCCACACACACACCCTGTGGCCAAGCAGCACTGGCAAGTGTCAGGCCACAGTTGGGGTTCCCAAAGGTTGCTGAGAGGCCTGAAGCTGTGTGGCAATCCCAGCGTTCCCACCCCATGTCTGCACATGGCATCACTGCCTGCTGGAGCAGGTGGTGCCTCGCAGCCATGCGGGTGCAGGGGTAGGACGGCCCTCCCTGAGGTCGGCCATGTGTCTCCCCCTCCCCCCAGGCTGTGATCAGCATGACAGGTCACAGTACGGCACCATCCACTTTGCTCCCGCCTTCTCTGCCCTGTGTGTGTTGGGCCCTCACAGCACTCACCTGATGTTCCCTACCCGCTGTCCGAAGTTGTCTGGGAGGCCTCCTGTGTCTGGCTCCAGGGTCGGGTCACTGTGCTCCTGCTGGTGTCCTCCCCTCAGAGCTGCTGGTCCTCTGGGGTCTCACCCTGGAGTTGCGGCCGCTGCTGCACAAGGGTTTCCATCCCAGACTCCACAACCCTTTCGGGAGGCAGGGCTTCTCCAGCCCCCAGGATCCAGTCCAGGTCCTCATAATAGGCACAATAGTGTAGAGCTTCCCCAGAGCGGGAGCTGCGCTCACAGGCCCTAACATACCCCTGCCGCAGCTCCTTCACCTTGGCTCTGACCTGGTCTAGTGTGCAGGGTTGGTGGCCTCTCTCAGCAAGGCCATCTGCCATTCTGGCATAAACATCCATGTTCCTCTGCCTGGGGGGCCTGAAGAGACTCCTCCTCAGACCAGAGCTCCAAGAGGGCTTTGATCTCGGGCCCAGACCAGGAAGGTGCCCAGTGTTTGGTGACCCTGGCTTGCTGCGGGGATGTGTCCCTGGAAGGGTCAGGAGGTCTCGGGGGGCTTGTCCCTGGGACATGGCTCTGAGTGGCCCTACCAGGAAGAGCTGAACAGTCAGGGTCCTGGTTGGAGCTGGCTTGCTGCCACAATGCTACTCCTGGGTGCCTGTGCCTTTTGACGATGGCTACAGGCAGGAACAATAGAGTTGAAAGCTCTGGCAGGCGTGTTCACCAGGGCTTCTTCCTGGAGGCCTTCAGTTTCTAAATAAATTCTTCTCCATGTCCACACATACCTTTTTTCGACAGTTCTCAATGGAAAATAGCGTTATTCCTCATAAAATGAGGTTTACCGCTGTCGACAAAACGGCTGCATTCTTTTGATTTACTGTCGACAGAATGCGGCGGCAGTGTAGACGCGGGTGACTTTTTTCGAAAAAAGCCAACTTTTGTCAAAAAAAACAGTGTAGTCTAGACACAGCCTGTGTGTCTAGCTCTTGCTGCTTTCAGACCTATGTAAACAGGAGAAATGTCACTTACTACCCTGGGGAAACAGTGAAACTGATCATGTTGTAAGGGCCAGTTTTCCATGTAAGTGTTTGCTGATACGTTTCAGAAGATTACAGTCTGTTCCAAGGTAAATAAATAAAAATTCTAGACCCTTCCAGTTTTTGAATAATTTGTAACAATAGTTGATGTGTGTCTTTTTCTTTTTAAAATAGCGGTCTCTTTTTTAAATGAAATTGCATTTGCTTCTGTGTGCGCTAGAAAGCAAATGTATTTTAACAGCTTCATCCACTGCCACAATAATCTTTCCAGTATAAACCAACACATTTTCGAGCTGAATTACAGTTATGAATCAGATGGACTGTACTATTTATACCAGGGAGGCATAATTCTGTAGTCTAAAGGTTTATTTTAATGTTATCATTGCAAATTGTTTCATTGCTGATCATTTTAGCAACACCTTGTTAATTATCCCTTGTTTTAGTATTTTTTTCCTTTCATAATAATTTAAATGTATATATATTTATAAATTTATATGTATACATATATACACACACACAACTTTGTTAGTAACTGGTGGGTTCCACAGTGGCACATATCACAGCAATATTGGTGCACAAAGCCAAACTCACACCAGGGAAATCTTAGTGGGAACACGGACTAGAACCCTGGTTTGCAAAGCCTGGGATAGCTGGCATTGCTACCAGGAGTTCATACAGAGCATTATGAAGAGTAGGCTCTGCACCCAAAGGAACCCTCACGATGGCATCCTGCTTCCTTCTGATTTGTCCATGCTCACTGCTTAACCATGGAAGTTTCCCCGGATGTTGTCAGGACAGCCACACAGACTTCTTGCCTGCTGTGACTCCAGATCTCACCTTGCTTTCTGACCTCCAGTCTCTGACCCCAGTTTAACCCTAATCCTAACTCTTATTCTTTGCAGGCTAACACATGCAAAGGCAGTGACTATAGTAAACTTAAGTACACAGGGGCAACAGACTTTAAATTCACTTTTGTGGTTAATTTTGTACAAACCCGCTCCATGCTCAACTCACTTGCATGATAATAGGGCCCCACCAAATTCATGCCCAAGAAAAATGTATCATGAACCGCGAAATCTAGTATTTTGTGTGCTTTTACCCTGTACTTAGGATCCCAACAGTTACAATACCATGAAATTTCAGATTTAAATATCTGAAATAATGAACTTTATTATTTTTAGGATCCTATAACCATGAAATTGAGCAAAATGGACTGTGAATTTGATAAGGCCCTAATGATAATGCACATAATCAGTGCTTAATATACTCTCACGTTTAAATTGCTGTACACAAATACCATAATTACACTTTACTTTGCTGCTGCCACCCTTATAACTTTTTATAGATTGTGTTTTATATACACTTACCAATTCAAATGTTGCAGTTAAGAATGCACAATGGTTTTCAGCAGATTCTCTCACACTCTACATTTGGTGGCAGCTCTGAAGACCATTTATTGTGGCTAGTCATTTTGTTCAGTTATTTTCTCCATATTTATCCCTATTAACATCTACTAAGTTGACACCTTACCTCTGGCAAGGAAGGTGAGCAAGTGGCTTCCTCTAAAGCAGACACCAATGCTGCTCTATGGACTGGTAGACAGGAGTGCTATAAGAGCAGTACAACAAGTCACCTCTGCTACACACCCATTGCTGGAGTGTTTAGAAAGGACTTTTACCTATGAACCTTCTAGACTCTGGATGCCACCGCCAACCCCCAGTATTGAAATATGTGAACATAACTTAGTTCTTGTTAACAATAACTCAACATTTTAGTGGAAAAAAACAGATCATACACATTGGGAGATATGCTTAGTTACATTCTTGAGGGTAAACAAGGAAATGAATGAAAATGCAGTCGAGTTGATCATACTCACTTTTTTATGACTCTTAAGCACTGAAGGTGTAACAAAGGCTTTGTCACACAGATCACATTTATATTTCTTATGTCCATCATGCACAACTTGGATATGAACATTTAAAGTGTCCTTCCTTTTGAAGGTAGCATCACAGTGATCACACTTGAAGGTCCTCTCGCCTTATAAAATAAAAAAGAAAAATGTTAATACGCCAGCTAACATCACGGATCATATTAACTCTCTAATCCCTTAAGAAAGGGAACACGATCCATATATTTGCCACATGGAGGAAGCTGTACTGACATGTCCCTGGAACAAGAAGCGAAGGAACACCATTATCCAGTATAAATTTCAATTTAAGAAGGCAGAAAGTAATCACCCAAATAATTTAGCCATGAAGTTGGGATTAACCACGCTATCCTTGCCAAAAGTGAATGGATTTAAAATGACCACAAGTAGTCAGGAACTTTTGGTTTTGTAACTAATCTGGAAAGCAGCATGCCCAACATCGTAAGGTTCTAGCTATTGTGGTGCAAAGGAAGATTTTGACATTTTAAGCATGTATAAGTGATGCAGAGATGTTTGCTTGAGTTTGCAAAGAATACTTAACAATAACTTTGAGATTAAAACTCCCTCATTCGTGGGGGGGGGAAGTATCATATTATGAAAATCAACACAGAATTTTTTATTAAAAAAATCCAAGAAGGTGAAACTGGAGATAAACAGATACAAAATTTTACTGTTCTTATTATCTTAAGCATAGAAGTGAATTTCAGCTTTATGCATACTGTGTTACTATATATTGATCTGTAAGATGTACAGGCAGTCCCCGACTTACGTCGGATCCGCGGTTACGAACAGGGCTCGCCCCAGAGGACACGGACTGCGGGACCTCGCGGTCCTGCCGCCCGTGTACTCCGGGGCTTTCTCCGCGTCTCCCTGGTCTGCAGACCAGGAAGACGCGGAGCAAAGCCTGGGGAAGCCGGCAGCGGAGCAGCCCAGGCGCGCCTGGGCTGCCTCGCTGCCTGAGCCCCCCCGCGGCCTT